AAACCGGGTTGGACATAGTAGGTAGTAAGGGTGATTTGAAAACAATTGTAGTAGTGAAACTAAAAAATACACAGAATCAGTAGTCATTCAAAGGGACAAGGGATTGTGGGGATACATTGTATGATCCCAGCAGGGGTCTGGTTTGGTCATGCACAACAATAGCTGATGCTGGCATGACCACAAACCAGCCAAAGGAACACAAACACATATAGGGGATATGGGGGTTTGGGATTCATAAGGTAGCAAGGACACGACAAGTGACTGACAGAGTACACACATAGGGAAACATTAATTTAAAAAGGGGAAGTGAACATATTACAGCATGCTAGTAACATAACTTGACTGTAGAAACATGAGCGAAAGTAAACAAGAATGAGAAACTGAAGCAATTAAAGAAAGCATGTTGTTGTTGAGGCTTGAAAAATTAACTAGGACATACCAGTAGAGAAGCAAAGTGCAAAAAGGTAAAGCAAGCAAGATTCCATAATCTAGCCTTGGCTTTCAGCCGACTAGACAAAGCAATAGAACAAGTAGTAGTAAAGAAAGAGAGAGTTTTTAAGTGTAAGTTGTGTGTTCTGAACTCAAATTGTTCGTCCCTTAAAAAGAAGAGAGGGTAGGGTATTTATAGTTTTGAAAACGAGTGAAAAATAAGTTAATAAGTAAAGTTTCAACACAAACATGGAAATAATCACAGTCAGAATTAATTAACACAAGTGATTTCCTTTAATTAAGGAATCACTGCTTAACGGATACTAACATGTTTAATTAAGGAAAGAAATCAGTTTGGGGACATATTGACTATTGCCATATAAGGGGGCAGGTAAAAGTATGAAGTAAATGACTGAGTCTAAGTACAAAAAATATACTTAATTTTGGAAATAGATTCAAAGTAAAACACCACAGTAATTAAAGGAAGGAATCAATCAATTTAAACAAATGAATAAAATTAGGGTTCATAAGAAAACCTTTTGCAATCAGTTGCAACATTGAGGGGGTCAGAATCAATCAAGAAAGGAACATGATTTTGCACCTCAGCCTATAAATAATAAGGAATGAACAGGCATGCAGGGTCAAATATGTCGACAAAAAGAAGCAACACAAACATAGAGTAGCGGTAGGGGTAAGCTAGGGTTCAGTAGTAAAAGAGACCTATTCGAAGAACAGTAGTCAAGTAGGTCAAGTAGTCACATAGAATCAAAAGTGAAGAAGAACACAGTAACAAGTAAGAGAGTCAGAAACGAGTAAAGGTCTCACAGTAACAAGTGAGGAAAACCTTTTAAGAAATTAGAGTTTCAACAATAATCGAGTTTAAAGATGGTAAGAACTCAAAATCAAGTAAGTCCAACAAGACAAAAAGATTCAAATGCAACGAACTTAATCGAACCAAACATGCGTGTAAAATAAACCAAGCGAGTTTCAGAAGCCCAGGTAGAGCCAAAACACTTAGGGCTTTTAGCATGATGAACCATGTAGCATCAAACATGGAGAAGCATAGTAAAAATCATAAAAACACACTGAAAATCGGAGAAAAGTTTAGGAAACCCTAATCGTTAAAAAATGGAGAGTCATTTTGAAAGAAAAATCGAAGAACCTTCGAAAAGCTCTTAAGAAGTTTGTAATAAGCACAGATCTAAGATAGATCTAAAAGAAAAATCGAATAGCTCTTAGATCTAGGGTTTCAAAGAACCCAGAGAAAGTGAGAAAGGCTTTAAAAGATACCGATCTAGCCGGAAAAGTCAAGTATCGAACTTGAACAGCCATGGATGGCTGGAAAAAGACCAGAGATCGAAGTCGAGCAAGGACTGGACCAGACCTCTTTGAGATTTGCCCATGGAATCACGAAAATATGTAACCAGTAGACATAAGAGACGAGTAAATGTCTCAAAACTCCATGGAAGACCATGGATTAGGGTGGAATTAGGTGCCGGAGGCTAGGGTTCATGTGAGGCTGCAGAGAGAATCGAGAGAAGAGGGATTCAAGGGCGGCGTTTTGTGAAAAGTGAATTAGGGTAAGGGGTCGTTCAGGTTTATTTTAGGAAGATTGAACAGTGGCAGTTGATCTGAATGATCAACGACCTGGATTAAAAAGGTAGGTGGGGAATCCGGGTTTGGTTCGGTTTAATTGAGTTAGGGCCGGGTTTAATTGAAATTGGGTATGGGTATAACAATTTAAAAATATGGGGGCTTAATTTTATGAATATAAAACACAATTAAATCTTAAAAAGGCTAATATTGCAATTATAGGCAATTAACTTTAAAAAAAATACTATATAATTGTAAAAATATGCAAAAATTACCTTAGCCATATTTTGGCATAATTATAAAGATCCAATGAATGAATCATCAAAAATAATAATTTCAGGCATCATTATTGGGATTTTATGGATGAAAAAGGGAAATAAATCGATTTAAAAACCTTTAAAAATTATGGAAAAATAATAAAACATTTGGACATGCTTATGTATGCTGTTTTGAAAGTATTTTGCGTATTGAAAATATATGGGAAAAAATTGGGTGTCAACACCAAACCCGCTACCGATCCCCCGACTCCTTCGAAGCTGATCTCACCCGTCGGGGTGTTGTTCAACTCTTTGAGCGGTTTGATTTGCCGGAGCACCGGGAGGAACAAGGCCTCTTCCATTCGCGTTGTTGGAAGCGCTTGATAATGCCTGCTTTAGCTATGTTATGACTTGGTCTTCCCTTGAGAGATGGCCCACGATGTCCTTTTGCTGCTCTCTCAAGATCTTTACTGTTTCCGCAATGTGCTCGTCCTCAGCTTCATCAGAAGTTGTCTCCCGCACATGTCGAGGATATTGCTCACCATGGACCGGAGTTACTACAACTCCCTCGTTGCGGTCTCACTGAATGAATTCTCATGCTGAGGCAGATTTTCTTGAGCCTCAACATTGTGTGTGTTGTTGACATCATTAGCTGCCATTTTTTTTTCCAATTTGTGCTATGAAACAAAGAATCAAACAAGTTAGTAAAAGACGCAAGGATCTACTCAATTACGCAGCTGTCTAAGCCCTATGGTGGGCGTCAAATAGTTTACCCGTAAAATGGTACAATTGAATTTGTTGCGTGATTTATAGATAAACGGACTGATTTGATCCCAAAATGATAAATAAACTAAATGAAAATAAGATTTAACATTGAAATCAAAAGAAATAGCAAGTCTAGTTCCGGGAGCAAGGCTTCAGAGGACAACAATAAGAACAATTGATCTAGCTTCACACCTCGCGGTGCTTACATTTCTCGATACTACACAAAAATCAAGTTGTCTTATTGAGCTTGAGAAATATAGCATAAGTTTTGCCAGTGACTTTGCGTCTACAATGGTTGTTGAGGCCCATATTTATAGTTATACCTTGGGAACAAGATTTTAGGATCAAGTCACTCTTAAATGACAATAAATAGGGCCATTGATGAATATATAATGACAGGCCACGAATGCCAAAATACTTTGCAATAGTTTCATATTTAATACTGAGGAATATTCTTCATTAAATGTCATTTGATAACAAAAATTCGTTTGCTTCCGTTGACTGTGTTCCCTTTGGGATCTACCCGATACAAACCGAAGTTGTTGTCCTCGGTCTTGGTTTGCACTCCCTTCATCTTCCGTTTGCCTCCGGTTTCACGTGTCATGTAATCATTTGAGCATTTAATATAAACTAATTTTACCTTATACAAATATACATTTTCACTTTAATAACAATTGTTAAGATTAAATATTTTGATTTACTGTAGCCATGTAGATATAGAGTGTGAAATAAATTTTCTCCAGAAGTAGTGTAACTGAAGTTGAAGAACTCGTGACCCATTTAATAGCATCTGCATGCCCATTATTAAACTTAGATAGAAACAACTAATTAACACTTTCACGTAAAGAACATAATGGATCCTCAAACAAGAAAGGAAAATTAATCAGAAGCTGACTTGATTAAGATGTGAACTTAATATCGGAAGGCATACGTTTTTGGAGGGAAAGTGAAAACTATATTTGAAGTTTTGTGTAATCAAATACGATGGTCCATGTCTTTCTTGATGAAAGGCAAGTTTCCATTAATGATGCAGAAAGATGAAGATTAAGTTGCTTCAATCTTCTAGTTAGTACTAACATTTAGAGGTCGTTTGGTACGAGGTATAAGAAGGTATAAGGGTGATACAAAAATTTAATATCACCTTAATACTATAAGTTATCCCGGTGTTAATTTTAACACATTAACACCGGGATAACTTATACCTTATAGAGGGTGGGATAATTAGCACCGGTATAACTTATACCTTCTTTTTAGAAATTATACAATTGTCATTCTTAATACAACATATCAAATATTGAATACACAACAATCCCAGCATAACTAATCCCAGCATAACTTACCCCAACATAACTTATACCGGCATAAGCCCTATTCCAACCACACGAACCCTTAATACTTTAGTATTAGTTATCTTTTGACGTAATTTCCTTTTTAAATTCATTTAACTATCAATAACAACAATAACAACAATCCAGTAAAATTCCATTAATGGGGTTTGGGGAGGGTAATGTGTACGCAAACCTTATCCCTACATCGAAGGAGTAGAGAGGCTGTTTCCGAAAGTCCCTTGGCTCAAGAAAAAAAAAGGACAAAATGAGACAATATTAGTATCACCACAGAAATCATAGGAAAAATAGGAACAACATGAAATCCAGAAGAAAGATGCAAAGCAAAAACGATAGCTCGTAAATAGTTCGGGAAGCTAAATAGTAAGACACAATATTGCCACTAGTTGTTTTAGACAAAAACACTATCAGACTGTACTAAATTCGTTTAACTATCATAAGATAATTTTAAGTAATAAACTAAAAAAAAAAAAAAGATTTAAAGAAAAAGCAGAAACACAATAAATGTAAAGTTGTAAACACACACGCAGCCTGATATAGTGATGTGACGAGCTGGCATTATTCAAATGAAAAAAGAAATAAAACAAAACATACATACTGGATTAGATACATCCTCCATAAAACTATTACTAAATCCTTTTCTTTTTTCATGTTCACAAGTCAGATGAAAGTAGTGTCTGTATAACAAATCACACCATAGTTGAACCTTGAACCTGCATATCTATCACCCCCCCCCCCCCCTAACCCCACTTATTTCTAGGTGGTGATATATGCAGGGCAAAAGGTGAAACAATCAATTAAATTCGTTATTAGATTCATGTCTACTTGTACAGACAGTAATGAAGAGAGAAACATTTGGAATTGGAAATCAAGATTTGTGAGTCTCATCTGTCACTATTCCCTCGAACTCTCTCACACTATGCGGGGCAGCAGGGGTTTCAAGCTCAAAGACCGTTGTAAGACTACTCAAGTCCATGCTTACAACCCATCTTCTGAAACTTCCACGAGCAACCCTTTTCCTTTTCCTATTTCCAAGCTCCATTTCCCTACAATCAACTCCATTTTGCAAGAATCTGCTGATTCTATTATTTCCCTTTCAACAGCTGAGACTTTTCTTCCCTATGGTCTTCCAAGAACCGATTCTTTTGAGCCCCCACTTGAGCTTTGTCTCAAATCTGTTGATTTTGTTGAATCTTTGGCTGAGCTTTACCGCAAAATCCAGATGACCCAAGATTTTGATAAATCTTTGGTTTATTTAGAGCAGTATGCGCTCTTGTGCAGCCTTGGTGATCCAAAGTTGCTGCGAAGGTGTCTTCAATCGGCTCGTCAACATGCGGTTGATGTGCATTCCAAGGTGGTTTTGTCAGCTTGGTTGAGGTTTGAAAGGAGAGAGGATGAGTTGGTTGGATCATCAGCTTTGGATTGTATAGGAAGAGTTGTTGAATGCCCCAACGCTGCTTTGCTACATGGCTATGATCCCAATTCTGTTTTTGATCATTGCCTATGTTCTAATCAGATCTCTCATTTTGGGAATAATTTCCTCAGCTCAGAATCAGAAGAGGATGGGGTTGTTTGCTTCTGCATAGGCAATGAGGAAGTCAACTGTATTCGAGGTAAAATTGCAGCTCTCTCTGCTCCATTAAAATCAATGCTGTATGGTAATTTCATTGAGTCTGATAAGCAAAGAATTGATTTTACACACGTTGGTATATCTGCGGACGGAATGAGAGCTGTAGATTTCTTTACTAGGACTAGAAGATTAGATTCTTGCTCACCCAATGTACTTCTGGAGCTTCTTTCATTTGCAAATAGATTTTGTTGTGAGGAAATGAAATCTGCTTGTGATTGTTACTTGGCGTCTTTGCTTTCCGATATCGATGAGGCATTGGTTCTTATTGATTATGCTCTGGAGGAGAGAGCACATCTGCTCGTGGCGTCTTGCTTGCAGCTGATGCTAAGAGAGCTTCCAGGTTATTTATATAATCCAAAGGTTCTCAACACCTTTTGTAGCTCTGAGGCTAGGGAGAGACTCGCCACAGTTGGGCAAGCTTCTTTTCTGTTGTATTATTTCCTTAGCCAGGTAGCAATCGAAGATAACATGGTGTCCAAAGTTACAGTTATGTTGTTGGAGAGATTAAAGGAGTGTGCTAACGAAAGATGGCAGAAGGCACTCGCTTTGCATCAACTGGGTTGTGTATTGCTTGAAAGGAAGGATTACAAAGAAGCTCAACATTGTTTTGAGATGGCTATTGAGGCTGGTAATATTTATTCAATAGTAGGTGTTGCACGAACTAAACTCAAGCAGGGGCAGATGTTTTTAGCTTATGAGCTAATTAATGATATTATTATAAAGTATAAACCTATGGGGTGGATGTACCAAGAGAGGTCTTTGTACAGCTTAGGCAAACAAAAGATTTTGGATGTTAATGAAGCCACCAGATTGGATCCTACCCTTACGTTTCCATACAAATACAGAGCCATTGCAATGGTAGAAGACAGCCAGATTGAGGCTGCTGTCACAGAGATAAATAGGATTGTTGATTTTAAGGTCTCTCCAGACTGCATTGAATTGCGCGCTTGGTGCTTTATTGCACTTGAAGATTACCAATCTGCTATAAGGGATATCCGTGCATTGTTGACTCTAGAGCCGAACTTTATGATGTTTCATGGGAAAGTGAGAGCTGACCACCTGGTGGAGCTCCTCAGTCAGCACGTTCAACCATGGAGTCCTGCAGATTGCTGGATGCAACTCTATGATCGATGGTCATTTGTTGATGATATTGGTTCATTGTCTGTTATATATCAAATGCTCATAAATGATCCTGGGAGGAGTGTCCTGCGCTTCAGGCAATCTCTTCTCCTATTGCGGTAATTTCTTGAGACATTATCTTTTGAGTTTTGCTGCAACCTTATGCAACAGTTCCTAATGTCTCTGAGTCCTGATTCTAGCTTCAACTTTTATTTTTTCGGGAATGCAAATAAAAAAGGGAAAGACTGGTCATTGACTTTTTCTGGCGATCTGTAAGCCATATTCTTGTTGTCACATATGTTACTTTATAATCAAAGAACCTGATTACTAATTGCAATACATCAAATCCGGCTTTAAGTTATAAGACCCATGTTATTGAAAATTAAAATGGATAATGCATGAAACAACTCTTTGATAACTATCCTTAGTTGGATTGAGTCAACATATGTGTAAGTAAATTTTGGGGACTGGCTGGAAATATACTGTCATTCTTAGATAGAAAAGCCTTATCATGGGTTAACATTCCATGCTGTTCTGATTTCCATAAATTATTGATATAAGCACATCCTGTTACTTAGTTTACCTAATACCTTTTACGTGCAGGTTGAATTGTCAAAAAGCCGCAATGCGCAGTTTGCGCCTGGCCCGGAATCATTCCACCTCCAAATATGAGAAGCTTGTATATGAAGGATGGATATTATATGACACTGGACATCGTGAAGAAGCACTTGCCAAAGCTGAGGAATCGATTTCTATCCAAAGGTCATTCGAGGCCTTTTTCCTTAAAGCATATGCTCTAGCCGATACAACTCTGGATTCTGAATCTTCATCTTATGTCATCCAACTGTTGGAGGAAGCACTTAAATGTCCTTCAGATGGTCTTCGCAAAGGACAAGTGGGTCAATTCTCCAAACTAGTTCTCTTGGTGTTGTTTCTGTAGATAAATTTATTCATGTTATGTGGTCTTGGCAGGCATTAAATAATCTAGGAAGTATTTACGTGGATTGCAATAAGCTGGACCTTGCAGCAGATTGCTATGTTAGTGCCCTCGAGATAAAGCACACAAGAGCTCATCAAGGGCTAGCGCGTGTATATCATCTCAAAAATGATAGGAAAGCTGCTTATGAGGAAATGACAAAGTTGATAGACAAGGCTCAGAACAAGGCATCAGCTTATGAGAAAAGGTCCGAGTATTGTGATCGCGACATGGCAAATAATGATCTCAGCATGGCTACACAGTTGGATCCTCTAAGGACATACCCGTATAGATACAGGGCTGCAGGTATATTATCACTTTCAATCACTTTATAACCCTTGCTTGTTACCTAATTTTATTGCTCGGGGAAGAGCTTACTAAAATTCTGACTAAATATCTGACTGTAGGGTGATGAATAAAATTTGTTATGTGAATTAGAAGTATAGTTCCGATATGATTATATTTGAGGAGAATCTTTCTTGGGTGTTATTACTAATTGTGACATAAATTCCTGGTGTAACCTAAAAGAGTATCACAAAGAGGAAGCAATCGTTGTTGCTTGTGGACGGGGCTTGAGCGAATGAATCTTCTTATGTTCACTTGAAAATGTAATTCACTTTTCAGAAGGAATTAGCAGTGTTGATAAAGGATGAACGCAGTGCCGCCATGTCCAGACTGAAAAGAGAAAAGCTGTATGAAAATTTGAAATTAAGTCACTTGAAAGAGCCTTTATATAAGGGAATACCTCTCTTTTCTTCTTCTCAGGATTGAGATTTACTACAACTATTACAATTTGAATTTGGTTAGCAAAAACATTTCTGATGAAAGCACTCTTTCTCTTTTCTGCGAAGGCCCTGTCATATAAAAACGATTTCTAGCTATTTTATGTATATCTGATGGTCTTAAAAAGCTGTTTTCCAAATTGCAGAATATACATTGCAAAAAAATAAAAATAAAGCAGGTAACAAGATATTAGTGTGTTGGTTTATGCCTATGTCACGCAAAGCATCAATTGAATTCATTACATTTAAGAGATATGCATCTGTTCATTGCACCTTAGGTTTGACAAGCTATTGTCCTATGATGCGTACCCCAAATGTTCTTAAGATAAGTTGTCTATGCAATAAATACAAATGTAATGTAGAGAGAGGAATTTATCACTGATATCTTGTCCATCTTTGACATAGGCAACTTATTGTTCTCATGGAGCAACTGCAGAGAGCTCCTCTTCTTTTGACAAGTAAATTATTCTTTGAATCAACCGGTACCAAGAAGGTGCTTAGAGAATATAAACTGATGACTCGTCTCATTTCACATGTTTAAGGAGTATAGCAAGTTGTTTAAATGATTATATCATTTACAGTATTCTTCCAATCTTCGTACACCAAAATTATAAATTTTAAAGACATTACATATTATATGTGCTCCTTTTTCCGTCAAAACATCTATGATTCTTTCTATCCAGATTGTCCTAATAAAACATAAGCAAGTTTCCAACTGTGACTCTTTTAGATATCCTCTGTCCCTGCCCATTGTTGAGAGTTTGCTGCAGATTCTTTGGCATCACGGACTCCAAATATGTTTAAAAACATTATCCATATTTTCTATGTTTGCTTGTTGTAGGTGGTTAACTGATTCATTGGAATCATGTAGGAAGCATCTATGAAACAGTTTAAAATCCCTTCTTCGCATATTATCTTGTGTCAAACAGGCTTCATGTGTTGCAACCGCATGCTATTTTTGGAGGTGCCTTGGTGTTCCAAATCATTTTCCATGGTCAATGATCTTCTTCTTTTACTTGTCTGTGGATTATCTTACAGCATATGATTTAACAGTAAATCTCCCATCCTTGCTACCAATCCAAAGTATGTAATATTTCACATCATCCTCTAATACCATTTTTTCCAGTTTCTGCAGCAAAAAGCTGATATCCTCAATTTCTCAATCATTGAATTCCTTCTAAACTGTAGATTCCATAACATTCTGCAATTGTACAATCTTTAGTTGTGATAAGGCTGTACCAATCTGGGAGGATTCCTTTTGGTGTCAGGCCTCCGACTGCTTATCAAATACATATTCTAATATTTCTCCTGTTGCCCAGCTTTAGTCTAATACTGTTCTGATATTCTCCCCAAATGCAAGAAGCTCTTCTTTTTGAGCTTGGCCTATCAAATGGTTACAACAGCCTTTTGGAATATTGCATTTTCTGACACAAGGACAATCTACTTTATGCTATCAAAATTCTTTTCGTTGGCATTTGTCTGTGAATGGTGAAATGATATTGATGAAGTATGATAAACTTTACAGTAAAGTTTAGAGTTTTGGTTCAGTCAAATCAAATAGTAGTCTAGACTCTTCATGAATGACTTCAGCGAAGTAACTTTAATCCTGTCGAATAAGTCTCCCTGCAGGGAGATTTATTAGCTGATTAAGTACATAATGTGATGCTTCTGTATATATTTGATGGTTTGAGCTGAAAGATCGTTTTGCTCCCACTGTTGGAAGAAAAATGGATGAAAGCATTGTGCTATATTTTCCTAAGTTCTTGTACAAACCAACATGAAACTAGGAGGACAAAAGTTCCCAACTGGTCAGGTTGAGCCTGCACCGTATAGATTGAAGCCTCAGCCGTGAGTTTAGCACTTGTTGCCTTATTAGCTTACCTTCTCAAAAAAAAAATTGTTGTTGCCTTGTTAGCGGCGAGTTAAGCATTTTTATCGCCTTGTCAGCTGCGAGTTTAGCAATTTTTGTTGCCTTGTCCGAACTGACATTTGACTGTTGCATGCAACAGTGCTCATGGATGACCAGAGGGAGACTGAGGCTGTGGAGGAGCTTACAAGAGCCATTTCTTTCAAACCTGACTTGCAAATGCTTAATCTTCGGGCAGCATTCCATGAGTCAATGACTGATTTCTCACGTGCTCTCCAGGATTGTGAAGCAGCCCTCTGCTTGGATTCCAATCATAAGGATACCTTAGATTTGTACAGTCGTACACGTATTCAAGCACGGCAAAATACGTGAAATATGCATGTGAATGGACTAGTTTTGAGGAGTACTTTCTGCTTTCAAAGAAAGAAGAGAAACGGCTTGAGCTTTCTAGTCTTTGGATATAAGGCTCCCTGCACAACATTCTGCTGTGCATGGATTGGTGACTAAGACAAACTGGGAAATCATTGAGGAGGAGAAATTGGATTTGGTGTACATATGATTAAAGGACTGCTATGGACATGATGTTGGTAAAAAGTTGTTCTGTTTTTGATGAAGCAAAGCCAGACCATTTCACAGTAAGCAAAATCAGGACACTCGAGCTCAATGTACTTTGACATTGTTTTGGTCATTAAGAATTGAAATTCTCATACTCTTATCATAAGTTCCGTATACGACCTAGAAAGAGGTAAAAATTCTCATTTGTGTAAGTTCAAGGGAACTTTTCTTCTGTCATTCTGTTAAACGATAGAGTTGCTGGAATGTGTAGAAGTTCTCCGTTTCTCTTGATGTTGTGAAAATTATAAGTCAAGATCCTTGTAATTAAATTAGATAGCAGCAGAGATCTCCTTGTATTCTGGTCCAAGACCACTTAATGTTTTGATGATCAACTCTTCATTTGATAATGGTGAGCCACTGATGGCTAAATCATCAGCAATGGACTTTATTTCTCGCATATATTCACTGACAGGGCGAGACTCTCGCTTGAGATTGGATAATATTTCACGCAGGCCAAAAATCCTTGATTGTGATTTGTTCGCATAAGTAGTTTGAAGAATATCCCAAGCATGCTTAGCAAATGTTGCGTGTGCAACTAAAGGAGCAATGGTCGCATCCCCAGGAGCCATAATGGCATTCCTAATGAGGCTACATTGTCATTGCCATAATTTGAAGGAGGGATTGAGAGACTCTCAACCAGAATAATCAATCAATTGCTTTGGTGGAATGGCTACTGTACTATCAACATAACAAAGTAGGTCGTAGCCAAATAGTAGAGTAATTGGAACTTCCTGTTAACTTGAATGATAGTTGGGGGGTTGGATTGAAAGATATCAATTGTGTGGTCTGGACAACGCTGCCGTGTCCAAAAATGACGGAAGGCTTCAATGAATCTGAATTTTTGGATGTGGATATCTTTGGTGAGAGGTCGCCCATTATTAAATGCAGATGGAAGACAACAACTGGCTTGAGATCAAAGGAAAAATGTAGGCAGGATCTTAGCTTGTGAGAGCTGTATACGATTAAAACCGGGTCTATCCGATTTTATTATTTGATCGAGGCCAGGGAATTGCATCGAAGGCCAGCATTGTAGTGGATCAGACCAGAGTACAAAGATAAGGTATCGAATTCGAGGATGGAGGTGCCTATCGAGATCGAGGCCAGCAACGATCGAGATCAAATATGGCAGACTTGGAGCAAAGCGCGATAATGGAAAAGCGAGATATCCGCGACCGGTCAAAGATCACGGCGGAAATCCCGGAACAGATCAAATCAAGGGCGGTTGTTTAGGCTAATCATGGGATTTACTTCCGTAATTAGAATTGTACCATAGATAGGATTCCTTTCCTATATAAAGAGGGTTCTCATCGTTTTGTAGACACCTTACATTCACACATATCAAAGCAATACAACACTTTCTAGCTTATATCGTGTTCCTCAGATTGTCGTACTTTTAACTGTTCTTGCATTGATCAATTCGAAATATTCAACTCGAGGGCAGAACTCCATTCAAATACTGGTTTGCTTAATTTTACTGTTAATTTTTGCGACTAATTTTCGTATTCATCAATTGATATTAGGTGAAAATCACATTATAAGTTTTAATTATTATCCAATTTTAAGGGTAAACAGTTTGGTGCCCACCGTGGGGCTAAGGATAATAGTGATTGCGTGGTATTAATTCCCATAATAGACACTGCTTTATGCTTGTTCTCGTAAGTGTTTTTGTTTTCAGGATCAATATGTCTAACTTGCAAACAATACTCATTCACGCCGATGACGGCCTCAGTTTCCATGGAGAAAACGATAATGTAGCCGCCCCAGGGATCGAAGTGCCTCAAGCTGGCCATGAAGGAGTACCGATCGCAGACCCCATCGACGTTAGTTCGCACGTCGCGCTAAATGCAAATCTAGATGTCGACCCTGGAAATAGTGTCCCCAGAGATGCCCGAGCAGCTGATCAGAGCGCATAGAGCGGTGGAAAAGGCGGAATGAGCCTTCGAATGATATTCGAAATGTTGCAGACTCAACAAGCTACGATAGCGCAACTCCAAAGTCAAAATCGAGGTCCAAGTAGAATTGACCTCGAAACATCATAGGAAGTTGTTCAAAGAATCAAACCTGTATCGGAGAAATTGAACGCTAATGAATTGGGGACCGATCTCGCAATTACGAAGATGCTCGAAGAGCTTACTAAACGGATCGAATCAAGTGAAAGGAAAATCGAGGCTAATGCCAAAAAGGTAGAAACATACAACTCACGGGTTGACCAAATACCATGGGCACCCCCGATTTTAAAGGGTTTGGATTCGAAGAAGTTTGTACAGAAGCCTTTCCCTCTGAGTGCGTCTCCGAAGCCCATTCCTAAGAAATTTTGTATGCCATAAATCCCCAAATACATTGGGAACACCGACCTTCATGAGCACGTCACTTCTTACACATGCACAATAAAGGGAAACGACTTAGAAGACGATGAGGTTGAATCCGTTCTATTGAAGAAATTTGGAGAAACTTTATCGAAAGTTGCCATGATATGGTATCATAACTTACCACCCAACTATATTGATTCATTTGCTATGCTCGCAGATTCTTTTGTGAAAGCCCACGCCGGAGCCATTAAAGTTGCAACATGGAAATCGAACCTCTTCAAGGTCAGACGGAAGGATAACGGATGCTTAGGGAATTCATATCTCGGTTCCTAACGGAGAGAATGGATTTGCCTCCAGTCACTGATGATTGGGCTGTTCAAGCTTTTACACAAGGTCGCAACGCCCGGAGCTCCATAGCTTTCGCAACAGTAGAAGCAAAATTTGATCGAATATCCTGATGTCACTTGGGCCGATGTACATAATAGGTATCAGTCAAAGATTAGGGTCGAAGATGACCAACTAGGACCTCCAATTGGTTCGATTTATCCTAGAAGGCCCGTGGACAGGCTAAAGGGTTGTCGATCGGGAATCATAACAAAATAGAAATAGGTACCACCATACAGTGGAGATCGGAAAAATAGCGATCCCTGATGCAACCCCATACAGAATGATAAAAAGAATGATCGGGTATAAAGTTCCTGAGGTCTTATGAACAAAAGTGGTTTCGATAGGGATGTCAGGTCCAAAGGAGCACCTCGACTGTCAGAATACAACTTCAGCGTTGATGTATCAGGTATTATATCATCCATCGGTCGGATTAAGAATATTATATGGCCCAGGCCTTTACAATCTGATCCAGCTCAAAGGAACCCTAATCAAATGTGCAAATACCATGGTACCCATGGTCATAGAACTGAAGACTACAGATAGCTGAGGGAGGAGGTAACACGTCTATTCAACGAGGGTCGCCTTCGATAATTCTTAAGTTATCGGGCCAAGAACCACTTCTAAAACAGAGATTCAAACATGCAGAACGAGCAGGAAGAGCCACAACACGTAATTCATATGATCGTTGGTGGGGTCGATATCCCTCAAGGACCGGTATTTAAACATACCAAGGCGACAATCACGAGGGAAAAACAAACCCGAGACTTCTTACCAGAAGAAACCTTGTCTTTAAACGACGAGGACACAGAAGGGATCGAACAACCTCACAATGATGCACTGGTAATGTCTATCCTTATGAATAAAATTCAAGTTAAACGTGTGTTAATTGATCTAGGTAACTCGGCAAATATTATTCGATCAAGGGTCGTAGAGCAACTCGGCCTCCAAGATTAGATTGTGCCCGCAACTCAAGTACTTAATGGCTTCAACATGGCAAGTAAAACCACCAAAGGGGAAATCATTCTACCAGTAAACGTGGCCAAGACTATCCAGGAAACAAAATTCCATGTGATTGAAGGCAACATGAGGTACAACGCGCTGCTCAGAAGACCTTGGATTCATAACATGAGAGCAGTGCCCTCGACGCTTTACCAAGTCTTGAAATTCCCTACATCAGAAGGAATCAAAATGGTGAACGGTGAACAACCTGTCGCCAAAGAAATGTTTTCAATCAATGAGGTAATACCGATATCGGTGTTGTCATCAACAAAGGGATCGGAGCCAAAGGGAAAAAAAGAAGTCAAATAGCAACCACAGTCGTCGGCCTCGGCCCGATCAAAGGAACAAGAAACCTTCGATGATGATGATTATATGATACCTCGAACCTTCGTGATCCGTGATGATTCCGATGCAACAAAATCAACGATCGAAG